TTAAAATCTTTTGGTTCTTCTTTATTTACCTAAGAGTTTCATCCACCCATTCTGCAGTGTTTCTCCTGCACTGGCATGAACTGAAGCTTTTCAAATTTTAACAGCACAATGATAGATCAAAATTTTCATTTGATTATGTGCCCTGTATTCTTTTCATATATTTAATCCCTTATCTATAACCCCACTTTAATGTAATCTTATTTTGATTTGATTTCATTCATTTTTATTGCCCAACACCATCCCTTTCATCACCTAACCCTTTCTGCCCTGCTCCTCCCAGCTAGTCTCTGCAGCCTCCATTTGGTTCTCAGCGTCCGCTGGTGAACAAAGAGGTCTGTCTTGTAGCTCAACATCCAGAGAGGAAGAACCGGGCTTTCCCCAGAAGCTGCCGCTCAGGAATCCTCACCCACCATTCTGAAAGGTGGAAAAGAAATAAAACACACTCCTGTCGGCCTTTGTGTCTGTACTTTCTGCCTCTTAATTGTGTTTGCCCCAAGAAAGGAAGCCCCATGAGAATCCACATGAGGGGGGATTATTAGCACTTCAGGATGCCCATTTCCAGCTCTGTGTGCAGAAGTATTTACAGATGCTCCTAATTTAAAACAGCTTTCTGACTAAAGTCTCCAGTAGCTGAGTGCATCGAGGACACTGCAATATTTACACGTTTATTCTCCCCTGTGTTCACCACAGTGAGGTCTTGGGACAAGCTAGGAAACTGGAAGAAAACTGATTCCTCTCCTCTTGCCAGGTCAGGAGAGGAGTTAGTGTGGACGTTGTTAATTCTAAGGACTGGAAGAAAGAATAGAAGGAATGAAATTAAGGGAGTCTCTTACCGACTAATTGAGTTCTTTCCCCCATCCAGCACCCACACACGCCCTGGAATCTCACTGGAGTGAAGATTTAAGCAGCAGGGGACTTTATCCACTGGCCAAGGAATGGCGAGGGGAGCTCCTACTCTGAAGGCCTGCTCCCCAAACAGGGAGAAGCAGGGAGTTACGTGGGGAGTGTTAAGGAGGGGGGGAATCTGGTCAAAGGATTTCAGAGAAATCAGAAGTTCCAGGGGCTGCATTCACATCTCTGTTTCTCCCAAGTTTGGTCTCCACAGGATCTAACTATGGAGCTGGGGCCTCAACCTTGTCTGACTGCTACCTCCATTTTGATCTCAGCCGGTCTCACCTGGATTTCTGGTTTTGCCTACAAGAAAATGTGAGTAGAGCCAGGACAGCCGGAGTAAACGGACGGGACCTTATGGTCACAGGGCCTGGTGACATTCCATGGTGCCTGATTTCCAGTCCTCTCCTTCATGGCAATGCCACTTCATTAAGTACGATGTGTTAAGAATTTTCTGTGCATTATCGCACTCAACTTCCATGACAACTCTGTGGCTTGAATGCTGCCAAGGCCCCATTTTACAGAGGATAAAACTGAAGCACAGAGAAGGCAAGACACCTCCCCAAGGTCACACAGCTAATAAATCCCTGAAGCCAGGATTCCTTTTACAACTATGTGACTCTAGAATTGGGTTTCTGACCATGACTAAGTCCTGGGTTTAGCCTTGAGAGACTGACTCCAGCATTTGAGACAAGACCTTTGTCTTCTCTGAGACACTTACCATGTCATGGATTATAGTTAGGGGCACATAGGAACATTTCCAAGAAAGTGATCTGGAAAGTGCCAAGTGAAGAGGAGACGCACAGACAAAGCTGCCATGAGAGGTGCTGTGTCAGGCGGGCTGGCTGACCGCTGTCACTCCTGGGCCACGCCCCATCACTCAGTGACCAAACGCCAGCGCTATGGGCTCAGGGGGAGCCCTTGGGGTGGGGGGTACTCCAGGCTGGCTGGGGGAGGCCTGGAAAATGTGCAGAGGAGACTTCCGATTTCACACTGCCGGATGACTTTTTTCTAGCACGGTGGCCAGCCCGAGTCCGCGTGCCAGGAAGGCTGGTTGATAAGGAGCACTGACAACTGCAGGAGTCTGTCAATATTTGAAGAGGGGTGGAGGTGACCAACAAGAAGAATAACAGGCAGCCTCGCCAGGAGGCCACCTCTTTAGGTACACATGTCCCGAGGAGACCATCTTAGCGAACACCTGCCGTGTGGACAGAGAAGGGAACCTCTTCCACCAAGAAGCTCGCACCCCCCGCTGGTGCCTCCAGCCAGTGCCCTGGGCTTGCTGTCATGCTGTGGTCGAGTCCTGAAGTCCGTGATGAATTTTTGTTAGTCCTTGTGTTGTGGAAGTGAAACCTGCTGGGGCAGCCCACGAGGGTGGTCGGATCCAGAGCACGGACCACACCGTGCTGGCCCGGACGCCGGGCACGCTGTGGGGGCTGCTGGGTGTGCAAGGCAGCGCGGTCACTCTGGAAGAGAGTTCGGCCGTTTCTTACAAAACTAAATGTATTTTTGACCTTTCTATCCAGTGGCAGGACTGTTTGGTGTTTACCAAAAGGAGTTGAAGACTTATGTCCACCCATGGATGTTTGTAGCCATTTTATTCTTAATAGTCAAAACATGGAAGCCACCAAGATGCCCTTCAGTAGGTGAGCGGATAAGTAAAGCGTGGTCCATCCAGACGGTAGATTTTTCAGCACTAAAAAGAAAAGAGCAGGGCCTCCTAGCGGCGCAGGGGTTAAGTCTCAGGGCTATCAAGCTATCACCAGCCACTGCAGCCTGAGTTCCATCCCAGCCAGGGAGCTACCCACACGGCACAGCAGACCTCTCCTGTCTCCCCGCTGCTCCCCTCAGCAGTGTGTTCCAGTAGATCTGCCTATTCTGCTCCCCACTCTGTCTCTGGTGAATCCTCTCACCCCTCCATATCTCTGGCCTACACCCCAGTTCTTGTATGCATAAATAAATAAATCTTTAAAAAAAAAAAAAAGAACGATGTCGCCACTGGCACAGGGGCTGCAGAACTAGCGTCGTGTGATCGGGGGGGGCTCTGTGAAGTCCTGCTTGGCACAACACAAAGGTGACGGGCAACATTCAAGCAGGTATTTTAAAATTTCACTTTTTCTTGACACAGAATGTCTTTGAATAGCAAATAGAATACAAGAAAGGGGAAGTGACACGAACAGGGAAAACTTTATCTTATGTCTTATTTTTTATTATTGTGAGCATTGAGGTAAGGTTGATGTACAACATTTTCTATGTTGTAGGGGTGTGTTGTAGGGCTCAGTTTAGGGGGTAGGTATGTCATCACACCTCCCTGCTCTGCTCCCACCGCACCCCTATGCTCCCTCTCTGTGGACCTCACTTCTGTGGTCAGATTTCAAGGGTTTGTTTGGCTTGAGTTTGTCTGTTCCTTTGAAAGCTTTATCTGTTAATTCCTTTCATTGTGCTCCTTCCTACTTTCAGAACAAGGGGCTCCCCATCTGCCTCTGGCACTGGGTCCTGCAAATCCCATAGCAGTGGGCCCTGCCCCCTCCATGACCACCAAGTAAACCCTCGAGGAGGGTCTACAAGACGCCAGATCCGCCACCCAAATGGACACTCACTCATCTCCCCAAACCTCATATTCCTCTTCTGCAAAACGGGTGCGTAGATCCTAAGTATGACGTCACCGAGATGGATGGACAAGGGCTTTGCAGAGAGTATAAGGCCATGGCAAGGCAGTTACTGCCACAAGCAAGAAGAGGGAGCCAGCCCAAGGAGGAAGTGTGTGGCAAGTCCTGTGCCCCAGCAGGGAGGTGGCCAGCTGGCATCGCAGCTGCTAGGAAGGGTGCAAAACAAGCCCTCAAGAAACACAAACACACTCCCAGCCACGGAAGGTGATGGAGACTCGGGGAGGGGCAGCGCTGCCTCCAGCCACACCGCTGGTCTGGAAGTCAAGCTCTAAGGCCAGGACTGGAGCCCAACCTCTTGAGCGTCCTGGCCAGATGCCTCTGAGGTTGAGGCTGGCAGAGTGTGGGCATGCCAGCTGCTTAATAGCTGGGGTTTTTTATGTTCCAGATGTAAATGCATTAACTTTATTAAATTCCAGCACTGAGCAGGAATCAAGGTCACGGCCCTAATTATGGGGCCTCTGGTTGTGAAATCAGCATTTATTTAACCATTATTTTAGTCTCTTACATGTTGCTCTCTGCAAGGGGTCTTCTATGGCTCTCCCCAATTGTCTCTCCTAGCTGCTTTGGCTTTTGTTATGCAATGAGGATCACACTGGGTGATTATAGGTTTATTTTGTAGGTCTGTTCAATTACAATGAGCCAGGCCTCTTGGCCTCACCTCTCTAGACCCAGGCCTATATATAATACTCAGCAAGAAAGCATGTTGGGTACCTGGAAAAGCATATTGATGAGTAAAGCCACAATAATTACTACTCGTGTTCCTCCTGAATGTTTTCTCAAGAACACTAAGTAGTATAATTTATCATGTTTCTCTTTTTGCATTGGCTACTAGGAAGCTCGACATCACATTTGTGAAGTCTTTGTTGCATATGTATTTACGATTCTGGTGTCCTTTGCTGTATCCACTTATTTTTCTCTTCTTGAATGATTTTTAATTTATGCTCTTATACCGCATTGTACATGTCCTTGGGAGACATGGAATGAATGTCCATGCTGGAATTAAATAAACGAAGCAACCAGCCTTGAATTTCTAGCCTGCAGAGAAAAATAATGCCCTTTCCAATGCCATGCTCTGTCTCCAGAGCAATAAGCCACCCTCAGGTTTCCTGCTTTCCAGGGTCCTAAGCCCTTTGGGAGTGATGTTTACCTGAGTGGGGGCAGTGCGGTGGATGAGATGCTGTTTCCTTCCGATTAGGTGGTTAGGTGGTGGTGGAGGAGGTGTTCTGGAATAAATAAAGGTGAAAGGCAGATCGAGCTGCAAAATCTTACAGAACGTGTTTTCCTTGTTCTGACTCTGACCCACGGTTACTGGGCGAGGAAATCAGCCTCCCAGATTAACCTGGGGCTGAGGTTGGAGAGGGCATGCTTGGAGCTCCAGGGAGGCAACAGCGAGAGAGAAATCAGGTGCTGGGTTTTTATTGGAGAGGGGGAGGTCAGCCCCCGAATCCAGGAAGAGAACCTGCTGCTATAGGATATTCGGGGTGAGGAGGGCCCCACCCAGGCTGGTGTTTGCCCTGCTCTGTGTAATCAGCAGCAGACTCCGAACGAGGAAGCCAAGGGAGCCGGGCTCAGGGGGCAGCCAGCCGCTTGGCACCAGCAGGGGACACACACCCTGAGCAGGAGCAGCTCCAGGTGACCGAGGGGATTGGAGACATTCTCACCCACCCGTGCTCAGGACACTTCAGACAGGTAGGTGCTTCCAGAGCTATCAGCTGGCCTGGAGGTTTGTTGTAAGCAGTGAGACATAGAAGCTGGGGGTCAGCGAGGCATGAGTCCATCCCTGCTCTGCCCCTGAGTCCCCTATGTGGTCTCAGGTATGATTGAGCTTCAGTCTTGCCATCTGTGAAATGGACCCCACAATGGCTGACCTAAAGGTGGTCCATGTGAGTGGCAATGTGAGTAGCAAGGTACAAAGCAATACAACAGCTCTACTTGCATGGGTCTGTTGTGGGTTATTTCACTCGTAAGCCTGGAGGAAGGTTAGTGGGTGTAGGGGTTTGCTATGCCAGTGGGGGCATAGTGACAAGAATCCCCCGTAGAAAGTCAAATTTGGGTCTGCACCTCGGGGCAGAGCCAGAGCAAGTGGAGGGGCAGGGAGGAGCACTGAATGTTTTTTGTGATTGACTCTACCCACAAACCTTATTCAATATTCCATCTTGGAGGGGGTGCTGGAGTCAGGCCCTCGTTGTAGGACCCCAGAAATTAGCTCCCCTTCTGAACCCGTTTCCTGCTTTAAAGGGTCCTGGTGATTAGAAGTTCAGGCGCCCTGGAGGCAGAATAGCCAGGGACATTCTGTGCCCAGGGGAAGGCTGGGCTCCCCAGGAATGGCTTGCTGCACCCCTCTGGGCTTGGGATTCCTCACCTGGGAAATGCAGAAGATGATTTAATAACAGCAGAGAGACCAAAGTTTCATCGTGAGGGCTGAGAGGCCGCACGCACGTGAATAGCAGTGCATTTACTAAACATTTGCTGCTATTTTCATTGTTGTCATCACCTGTGAGTTATAATGGGGAAGAGGCGCAGAGGCAGGGGGAGGAAAGGAGTTCCAGAGAGAAGTTGTGGATGAGATCTGGGTCAAGTGGGGCAGGACTTGAGTGCGAGGAGGGAGGCACTCCTCGGAGCACAGACACCAGAGCACTCAGCTGTCAAAATATACTTAAAGCTAGAAATTAAAAACCCATACCCAAACACCCACAGTAGCCTCTTAAGGATAGGAGCAGTTAAAGCATTGATTTTGGTTTTTTGCAACACTGAGTTAAGATGTATTATTCATCATGGCTGAGTTTTCTGATGCCCCTTAAAAAACGTGCTGCCAGGCGCTGCACCCCGGCCCCAGCCGTCCACGCCCTGCTGGGCCACGCTGACTTCTGGTTTCCTGGCCCAAGAGCACAGACCCTACTTTTTCCCTGCATAAAAGCCGGGAGAGGGGTGTTGCTTTGTAGCTTTCGATTAAGGGATAGTGAAGGGGAAGGGAGGGCGGGAGGAAGCCAAGTGCCAAATCTTGGAGGATTCTTTTTTCTGCAGATTTCTGAAATCCAAAGGGCTGTCTTTTTCTTAAGAGGCTCTTGCTTTGGGAGCGTGATGGTTCTGGACGAGCCCAGCCTGGCTGCTTTCTCATGACAGGGAATGGCGGGGAGCTGGTAGGAGGGTCCAGGGAGGTGCTGCCCCTCCGTGCTCCCTGCTCCAAGCACCACCTTGTGCATGGGCAGCGCATCAAGCTTCTGCTCATTGTCACACTTTCTGCAGCTCATCCTGACACCCAGAGCCACGCCATGGAGTTAAGGATCTGGTGCCTGATTCAGACTCTACGGGGCCTCTTCAGAGTGCTCTGACCTGGGGAGCTCTTCCCCTGTACTCAGTGAACCCTCTCTTGTGAATGAGAATGCAGGAGTGCAAGGTGCCACCCCCCAAGGGGGTGAAGGGTGGCCTCCCAAGCCTCAGTTTCCCTTTTTTTTTTAAAGATTTATTTATTTATACAAGCACTGGGTAGAGTCAGAAGCGCGGGAGGGTGAGAGAATTCACCAGAGCCAGAGCGGGGAGCAGAACAGGCAGAAGGACCGAAGTGCACTGCTGAGGGGAGCAGCGGGCGGCAGGAGAGGTCTGCGCACCATGTGGGACCCTCGCCTGGCTGCCGGGGATCAAACTGGTGCTGCAGAGGCTGCGGGCAGCTTCGCAACCCAGCACTCAACCACTGCGCCACCGGGGAGGCCCCAGCCTCAGTTTTCTTATCTGCGTAATGGGAAGTCATGAGCAGCTGTAAGAGGGGGAAGGAGGCAGTGGGGGTTTCAGGCAGCCCCAGTGCCTGTCCCAGGGCAGGGAGGCACCGCTCACTTGCCCCCATTCTAGCCTGTGCCTCCTTGAGCTGCTCTGGCGACCTGCTTCACCCCAGTCCTGGCCTGCCTGGCCCATGGGAGTCTTCCCTCCGTGCTTGCTGCTATCAATTCAGCTTAAAGTTGCTTGGGACCATGTTGAGCTTTCTAGGAATGTCAGTGCATGGACGCAAACATCTACCCAGTGTGCTGTACCCGTAGCAAGACATCAGTTCCGGCACCTTCCTGAAATACTGGGGTAGCTTTGATAAAGGCCTCTGCTCCTGGGCATCTGCAAGTCAGCTCGCTGGGCTTGGGGCAGTGAGGACAGATTCCAGGTTCTGGTTGTAACAGTTACCCCAAGCTCCTGCACATGGGGGTCCTGGTGGCAGCTGGGGTATAGGAGGGTACCCGGGACAGCGGGCCTGGCAGAGGGATCTGTTCTCTGTACTCACACTGACCCAAGTCCTGACCTTTGGACTTGGGGGCTGGTGCCACCGGGCGCACCCACCTGGCCGTGCTGGCCTGGCCTCGCTGGATGCTAAGGAAGGCCCGCAGTTTGCCGACATTCCATTGCATTGATCCAAGGTGTTTCTGTTTGCTCGGTGACTCACTGTGTCACCATTTCACCCTGCGGGCCTTCCCCTTCCAGGGAATAATCATTAGTGCCCGCAGGCAGGGCAGCTTCAGAAAAACTCTGTCTCCAGGCAACTCGTACCAGGTTGGCTGTTTGAGCTGTTTCCAGGAGGAAGCCTGATTGTTAACCTGTAGCTCAAACGAAGCAACACAAACGCCCATCACTAGCGTCAAAGAAGCAGGAATCCAGGGCGACTTCCTGAGGGGCCAGTCAGTCCTCTGCTGGTCACAACATGGACCACATGTCCTGACCAGTTGTGATTTGTAGGGAAAATGGAGCAAGTCAGGCTCTGTCGCCTCCCATCACTGGCCTCTGCAGTTGCTACCTGCAGCCTTGCTGCCCTCTAGTTTCGTCACCCACACGTGATAAGGTGTTATCGCAGGGGTGCTGGGGGGCCCAGGGAGGGCACGCGCCTATGATTAAGGACACAGGGGCTGGGAAGCCAAAGGGCATGGGGTGCACGCATACATTGTAAACACAGACACCTGGGCCAAGAGAGGGAGCGACTGGGGAGACAGGGAAAGAAGCCCAGAGAAGTCAGGGAGAGACTCCCAGCTCCTCCTGCCTCCCTCTCTGCCTGCTGGTCTGCCTGTATCTGGTCCCTGCTTTAGCATCAAAGGCCCGTCAGATCTACCTAAGACTCCAAGATTCTTCTCCATCTGCCTAAATCAGCCACGAACCTGCTCAGCCTGGGATGCCTGCCCCAACGGGATTTTAATTTCTTATTGCAAAAACAGATGTGCAGCAAATACTTTATGGTCCACGTTCTATTACAATAAATTAAATATTTAATGAAATGTGACGTAGCAGGATGCAGTCAGAAGTGAAGTTTTCATTCTGGAACCAGCCCGAATGTCTGATTCTCCCACTTACTCACGAGAAGGCAGCAGCTTGGCCTGAGGTGCAGCTCGGCCTGAGGACCGGCCTGGAGAAAACAGCCCAGGAATGAGAAATAAAGGGACTTTCTCCTTTGAACGGCCCCCAGCAAAGACTCACCTGCTGACAAAATCCCAGGGCCTCAAACACGAGTCCAATTTCAAAACCAAACCCCCGCCAGATGGCGGCCCGTGTTTAATGTCAGATAAGGTCACAAGAACAAAATAACACCGTCCCGTCAGTGCAGGAAAGACAGGGCGTTTTGACATCACCTTCAAACCCAGCTCAGTGCTAGCTCTTCCAAATGAAGAAGTTCTTTTCAATGAAAGGCCCTTTTACCTGATTTATTTTTCGAATTTGTTGGTGACTAGAATAAACGTCAGCACTGCCAGAAACTGTCTACAGCACCTGGGGCCTCAGTGTTGCATCTCTTAAGTGGGCAGAGAGGAGTCCTTGCCTCCCATAATGATGCCCCCACTGCTACCCCTGCAGGTTCCTCCCTGGCCCGGGGCCCATTCAGGGTACCTGGCATCAACTCCTTCCATTCTCACGGCACCTCCCAAGGGGGTGCTGTTAACCCCATTTCTCAGAAGAGGAAACTGAGGCCCAGCGCAGCTTCAGGAACCTGCCCAGGGTCATGCTTTTTTCTTGCATTATTATTCATTTTTGTACAGTAATTGGTTTCCCCCCTCAGGTGTGGTTCCTGTAGTTCTGCCTTGTGTTCTTCTCTCGCCCTGACCCCGCCCTTCCCTACCCTGCTGTGTGCGGGGGTCACACCCTTTCCCTGTGGGTGGCACTGCTTTCCACCAGCACCCAGATCCCCATCCACGTCAGACGGTCGGCCTTATGGTCTGACGAGTTGCTCTGTCTTTTGGGGAGTCGCAGGATGTGCTTTCTCCTGCCAGCTTTACCTGAAGGCTTCGTGACAAGCAGTGAGAGCATCACCTTGGCCTGCAACCCGGGACATTTTCTTTTCTTTTTTTTTTTTTCCATATTATTATTTAAGATGTTTACTGACAGGTGCTTGCAGTTGACTTTTTGAAAAAATCAAGTTGTAAACTTGTATTACAAATTAAAAATGAGGTTCTTCAAAATCTCATCTTGACCAGATATGAAACAATTTAAAAATCTTTAAAGGTGTATAGAGAAAAACCAGGCTTTAAAAAAAAAAAAATATTTGTCATTACCAAAAAAGACATCTTTAGGTAAAAATAATAAAAACCCCATACTGCATAGATAATGCAGATAGTTCTGGTTATCTGGTCAGCGGGCAAAAAGCAAGCACTTAAGGTCTTCAGCTCCAATCTTGTTTATTTCTTATTGCTGGAATTTTGTATTTTCTTCCTCAGCCCTGCAGGCTGAATGGGTTCATTTCTGCTGTGATGCTGATGGCGGCCAAGAGGTGGCAGTAATAACCCTTTGCTTTTGTGGCTCACAAAGCCCGCTCTGCCAAATTTGAAGGACCAACTTCTCCACTTGTTGCAACTGCTGGTGGACAGCAGCGCCGTCTGAATTGGTTGTCACGGCAGAGGGCTTGCAAATGGGTTTTAGGTTCTTCTGGCCCTGAATTTGCTGAGAGAAGACCTACAATGTGCAATTACCAGGATAATGTCACCCCAACCCCCACCTGCCAGCTCACCCTTCTCCCAGCCCCAAGGACTAGTCAGATCCTCAAACATTCCTATTGAAATTAACCCCCAGATTGACTGAAATTAAGCTGAATAATGGAGCTTTAAGAGCTTGTGAGCCTGTTGGCAAATAATTTATAATTTTGTGAAAAGCTGGATTTAGACAGAAACAGTCCTCTGCACGTGTATTCTTGTGAGCAAGCTTCGTCGGGGCACTGAACCCCAAACCTCCATTTTCTCACCTGTGAACTGCAAGGAAAACACCACTGCTTGTTGATTTTCTGTGAGGAGAACATTTGACTTCAAGCGGAGATTTAGAACAGTCTCTCAGCTCACGGTAGACACTCTCCACACTTAATGTCGCGATTACTGTTTCGTCATTAAGTTAGGGTTTGTGGGCTGCTGTCATTGCTTTTATGCACAGCAGTTTCAAATTCCGCTCGGCCTCAGCTGGACCATCAGTCTCGGCTGCCTCAGTGCCCCGGTCCGACTGTGGCATGTGTGTTACCTACGGTGATCTTGAGTGAGGGCTTCCTAGCCTTGCTGGAAAGGGCCAGAAAGGATGTATCTTGGGATTTGCTGGCCATTTGGCCCCTGGGAGAACTTCTTGACGGCCACAGGATCAGACACCATCAGGTGTGTGTGTGTGGTGTCCTCCAGGGCAATTTTATTTATAGATACTAAATTTGAATTTCATATAATTTCATTGTCACAATCTGTGACACATGTGATTCTTGATTTTCCCGCAGCCACTTATACAAATGTAAAGCCCCTCCTAGCGTCCTGACCAGATGAGAGCAGGCAGCCAGCTGGATTCAGCCCCCAGCTGTCCTCGCTGGCCCTGGCCTTGCAGACTTAATATTCTACTCAGGATGTCCCATTTGTACATGGGAGTGACATTCCACCTACACATACCAGAGACTTTATAAGTAGAAAATACTGCAGGCTGACAAGGGAGCTGCGTGTTTGAGCAACGCTCAGCTTGGTCATACAGTGCGACTCCGAAAGACTTAAAATCCCAGATTGGATTATGACCGGAGGCCCCAAGAGCAGCTGTGGGGTCTGTGCTTTGGGGGCCTCTGTGATTTCTGATCATTCAATGCTTCTAGCACTAGGGCAGTGAAACCTCATACCAAGGGCCACAGGGAATCTGTGAGGACACACCAGCTGCTTTCAGCCAGAAGCCAACAACCCGGCTTTTCCTCTGAGACCTGCCCTATCGGGTGGGGCGGCGGCCGGGTCTTTGTAGAGGGCTGTGTGGGAATCGTGTGTGTATGCGTAAAAGAAATCTCCAGACAGCCAGGCGCAGCAAATTGGAGTGACTGAAGGAGGCCTAGTTCTGGAACCAGAAGCCATCTGGGTCAGACCCTCCCTGGGCCATTTTCTGGATGTGAGTCCTTGGCTGAGCCTTAGAGACGCAATTCCCTCCTCTGCGGCAGGGGGCGTACTGCACGGCTCCCTCCTGGAATTGGGAGCTCAGGCAGTCTGTGCCTGGGTCTTGCCTCTGCCCTTTATGGGGTAACTTTTGGAAATTAATTTGATCTGTGACCCAGCTCCGTCACAGCTAGAGTTAGCGGATAAGAAACCTGTTCTGTGAACCGCTGTGGGGCTTGTCGGTGTCTCTAAGGGAGATGATTCTGGAAAGACCCTTAGAACACAGTGGCTGGAACAGAGAATTGCTAAATGCTTGCTGATAGTTACCACTGTTAGGATAACAAGGCCCAGGCAAGGTTCTGTGGCCATGTGGGCAGGTGCCCAGCCGGTGCCTGCCAGGTGAGGGTAGTTAGCAGTGATGGTTCCCCCATTCTGTCAATAAGTAATAACTTGGCACTTGACAGAAACAACAGCTGCGCTGAAGTTGTAGGCACAGTGCCTGGCCTTATGGTGCCCACACTTTATTGGCCAAGGGAGACCGAGGTTAAAGATCCTATCTGGCCTCCAACTCTGGATAATGGCTACCTCATTCCAGAACCATCTTACCTAGCACTGCCACCCCCGCCCTCTACCAGGCCCCCTGTGTTATGTTACAAGGTACCTGTATAAGTAGCAGTGACCGTAGGTACTTTTGCTGCTTATTAAAAACCACACACTCTGATGGTATAAGAACTATGGGGACTACACTTGAGGGGAGAAATCACTGTGCAAAAATGAGCAATGATGTAAGAAAATAAATTTAATTATGAAAAAATAACACTGGAAATCAGACACTGCTCTAACCAGTTTGCAACCATTAACTAATTGAGTCCTTGTAGTGTTCCTGGGAAGCACAGAGAGGTCAGTTAACTCATCCAAGGACACATAGCAGTGAGGGCCAGAGAGAGGACTCAAGGCCAGGTTGTCTTGTTCTACTCCCTGTGCATGACCATGGCTCTGGGAGACCTTGAAATCTTGGAAACGGCCTGGTTTGTGGAGTTATCACATGTGCTATTTGTCCACCAGCTCAGCTCTGTGAGTTCCAGGGACCTTGACTGTTTAATTTCCAGCTGTGACCCTAATGCCTGGCCCAGCATGATATGCAGCATTGGTGCTCTCTCTGTATTTGTTGAATCTATAAAAAAAAATAATATATATTTAAATAAATATATAAATATATATTATTTATTTATAAATAATAAATATATAACTCCCACTACTGCTAAGTGGCATAGAAAATAAATGCCAGTGATATCAGAGGCTTGAACATGGACCTACGTTGAGGATCAAAGAAGACTAAAAATGATAAATATTCTTTTGTTATCCTTATTCTAAAATCTCCTTGATATCACAGCTGGGACTCACCAAGGGAAGGAAAAGTTAACTGCACTGACTACGCTTTTCTCAGGGATAAATTCTTCCCCCCAGCAGTGAAATACAGTTGAAAAATGGGCAGCATTTGACTTTAATTCTGTTGAAAACACGAATCCGACACCTCTTCTCATTGCCCAAAATAAAAATGAGCAATTGGCCTAACTTGTGTTTATGATAATGTCGGGGCACAAAGGAGGAGCACCTGTACCCCTCTGGGTTCTTCTAGGCTGGCCAACACTCAAACAGCATCCAATTGGGAAGATAATAGCAGAAGGAAGTTTAGCAATAGCAGGTCTACCTCTTGGAGACACGGGAGACCCAGCAGGACTGAGCAACGGGCCCCCGTGGCTCCAGACACCATCTCAAGTAGCTCAGCAAATCAAGGGACTTTGTGGGTGAGACAGGCAGGCCAGTGATGGAGGTCATGGGAAGATGCACGAGTTTATCTTTTTTGATTGCTGAATAATATTCCATTGTGTACATGTACCACATCGTCTTGATCCAGTCATCTATTTTGGGGCATTTGTGTTGTTTCCATAGCTTAGCTATTGTAAATTTGCAGCAACATGGATGGAGCTGGATGGGATCATGCTCAGTGAAATAAGCCAGAAAGAAAAAGAAAAACACCGGATGGTCTCACTCATAGCAGGAATCTAGAAAACCTAAATAAGGGACCAGGAAAAAGACTAATTATAATAAAGTAAAAATCAAAATCAACAAGCAACTATAAACCAGGGACATATTACAGGGGGTGAGGAGGGAGTAGGATCAAAACAAGGGAGCATGGGCATTGTATGGGGACTATAACCAAGATGAAAATGCATATATTGTGCAAAAATGACAAAAGATGTAGGAAATATACAAAATTTTAAAAAAAGCAACCTGCACTCAGCCTTCAGAGCCCAGTCCCTGAAATTCATCTTTTGCCCAAAAGATGTGTTTTGGGGTGGCAGATGATTGCTCTCCTACAATATACACCCATGGTACCTTGTTGGGTCTCTCCTCCCTCGTTGCACAGTCAGGAGTAAGGCTGGTATTTGCTCTGGGTTTTTATTTCTCTTTTCCCTCTCTTGCAGGAGCAATGGGTAACCAGATGAGTGTCCTCCAGAGAGTGGAAGACCAAGAGAATGACTCAGAAACAGACACCCCCAAGGTAGCGTGCTGGCCCCCTTTATGTCCCTAAGGCCCTAAAGACTTGATACCTACATTTACACACAGAAGACTGAATTTCCTCATGAAGCGCTGTGTGTTTCATGTCAGCTGAGAGAAAAGCAAATTAAGCTTTAGCATGGAAAAAAAAATACAGAACGATGCTTGGAGCCCAGTTAAAATGGAAATCCCTACAGGAGGAAGAGAATCCCTAACGTTACTAAGCTACTACTGATAGTGCCGTAGAGATGATTCCTGCTCAGAATCAAAGGCCTGATTTGAAGAAAGGGGCTGAGAATAGAAGACCCTACAAGCTGGGCCTCACCCGGGATGGTTTTGCATTTGCCCTGGGGAACTTTTGAATCTCCTGATATCTAGTCCCCATCCCCAGCCCACTCACCCCCACACAGGCACCCAGACCAACTGAAACACCAGCCGTGGGTGTGGACCCAGACTCAGAGGCTGCCCTGGCTCCCAGGAGTGGGTCCAGGTCTGAGAGCCTCTGGCAGAGACCAGAAGAAAGAGACAGGACGGTGGGGCGGCCAGAGACTTTCTCATTAGAGTTGAAAACAGTGTTCACAAAATCTCCAGACTTTCAATATTGGCCACTGGTTCCAAAACCATTTTTTTGTAAATGGTGTGAGCCAAATAAATCAAATTTGCATACCAGTCACATCCCAGGGATGCCAGTTCTAACCTCAGGGAGAAAGAGTTTGATGCTTAGAGTTTTTGATTTCATGATGGGATTAATAACTTCAAGAACATGGGCTGGTTGCAGACAATCAGAGCCATTTAAAAAAAAAAACAACTATAAATTATAGAAAGGGATTTTCCTACCCTCTCCCCCCAGCCCCCAGGAGATTCCATCTCTAGGAAGTTGTAGTCTTTCTTATTTTTTTCCCCTCTGCAAGTATTAACATATCAGCATATATTATGCTCCTGATAGAATGAGCAAAGCACTTAGCAAACAATCGGTAGTCAATCAACCTCAACTCTTAGTAGCAGAATTTAGATTATTTTTTATAAAATGACATTCTGTAACCCGCATCCTCTTCTGCAACATTTTTTCTATGCGGGTGTACATGTGTGATGCATGTCTGTGTCTCTCACATGCACGTATCATCTGCAATAAATAACCCAAGAGAAAAAAAAAAAGCAGCGAGGACAGTGGCCTGAGGCTGGAAATAGACTGACCGGGAGGGGGGCAGGGAAGGGTGGGGCCGGGAGCCGAGGGGAGCACCTGGCTCAGGAAGCTCGTGGGTGCAGGGGGTGCAGGGTCACCCCTCCCCCCAATACTGGACTCAGCCTGTTACATCCCCCCACACCCCCTTGGACGAGCGCCCAGCGTGCCCCCCGTCTTGGGGGTCCACCTAGCCTGTGCTCTGGGCTCACAGGTGAGGCAGCCACCCCGGGAACCCCACGGGCGGCTGTTTCCCTGCCCTGAGACTGGAGGCCCCAGACAGGCTTTGCAGGAGTCTGAGCTAAGAGGCGCCTCGAGGCCTTGAGGCGCGTCCCTGACTCTGATCGCCCCAGAGCACTTGCCTCACCCGGGGGTCTGTTCCAGGTGGCCGCTGGGAGCCAGTGCGAGCAAAACGGGGCGCCGGTGATGCTGTCCACCCACACCATCCAATACTACAGCGAAGGTCAGTGCCGGGCAGGGGCTGACCCGGTGGGGGGCGCGAGCGGGGAGCCCCGCCCTCCTCTGGAGACTCCGGAACCTTTTCTGGGGCCGGCCAAGGCGCACACTGGGGGTTCCCAGGCGGCTCAGCTGGTCTCTGTGCAGGCCGCGCCTCCCGAGGACCTGCAGGCACGAGTCCCCGGGCTCTGTCCTCTGTCCTGGTAGCCCCTGGCGCCTGGACCTCCAGAGGGTTCTCCCTGGGGACCCACAGGGCCTCTTCCATGCTGGTCCAAATTCCACCTGTCCATAGGGAGGCGGCCACCGGGGTCAGCACCCCCTGCTTGACCTCCTCCTCACCAGGTCATCTGCAAAGACCCGTTTCCCAGCAAGGTCCAGGTGCTGGCCCTGAGGCCTGCCTGGGGAGGGCAGGATACTTTCCACCCTCCAGACACCCCTCTTGGGAGCTGTGAGGCTGCAGGTGAGGATTTACCAGGCAGCAGAGCTCGGTATTCAGGGTCAGGCAGAGCCAGGGTAAAATCCCGGCCCTACTCACACACAGGTCTATGTGTAGTGGATGTTTGAGAACATGGTTTAATTGTTTTTAATGTTTACTTAAATTCTCAAATTGTTACAGGGCAGGGAGAGGGGCACCCCAGAACCCCCAAACCTGCCTGCTGTATGTAGGCTCTGCTATCCATCCCATGAAGGCAAAACATATAGACTTTTTTTTGCTGTTTACATAAACTTTATTTATTTTAATTTTATATATTTTTTACATCAGTTTTCATTTTTGCACAATGTATGCATTTTCATCTTGGTTATAGTCCCCATAAAACATATAGACATTTAATGGAAAAAAACTTAAATACAGTTAGTAGGTGATGCAGACAAGACAAAGAATATAGTTTCCAAATCAAGTTACCCGTCCCCTCGTGGGTAAAAGTCCAGACAAACAGTGTTGGCCCAAAGCAAGGCCCGAAAGCTGCCCCAAGTCTAAAGCACCTTCGGGTGGGGACCCATGGAAAAGGGTCAGAAACAGCCCAGACAAGTCTGGGAGGAAACGAGCAAAATCAAAACCAAGATAAAAGCTGCCATGGTCACCTCCCCATGGGTCTCTCACCCACGTCTGTTCCAATCAGTCCAGGACCAAGAAGCAGGTGCAGCTTCTTCACGTGTCTCTGCTCCCTGTGCCTCCTCCAGGCCTCCTCTGGCTCCATCCTCTTCCCCCTTCTCCGGCCTCCTATCCAGCTTCTCTTCCCTGCTCAGCTCCTCCCTCCCTTGGGTGGGGCAGGGAACATTTTCCTGGGGACCACCCTGTTACAAAATGACTGTAATCGCTTGTTCCCACATTAGATTTTTTTCCATCACTTTTGCTGAGTAAGCAAAGTGTTGGTAGATTTTTTTTTTTTTTAATTTCTCACTCCTTAGAACTCACTTCCTCCCATCTCATCCTCTGATAGTAAATGTCTCCTAATCAGATGCAAAGAGCCTGGAGACAATTTCAAGGAGAGTTTACTTGCTATTATTGACAAATGAAACAGGTACTGATTCCCTGACATTCTCTCCAAGTCACTGAATATGTACTTATTTTACATTGGCATAAATTAAAAAAAAAAAAAAAAAGATTTACTTGCCATGTATGCTCCTGCAGCTTCAGGCACAGCTGGATCCAGGCGTCAAATGCTATCATGAGGCAGCTGGTCCCGGGATCTCTTGGCTCTATTTTCATTTGTATTTGTTGGTTCTGAATGTGATGACCAAGGCCACCATCTCCAAGGATGGCCTTTCTGGTTTGCCAAACGATCCTGGTTTGCCAACCCCAGCATAAAGAGTGCAACTCCGATAAGTTTGGTAAGAGTCACAGGATTTAGGTTTTTTTTTTTTTTTCACTTTAGCTGAGGCCAGCCTACCTACCAGAGAGATAAGCATTTTAGCAAGAGAATTAGAAGCTCCAGGTGATAAACTTGGGAATACCCTCAACTAAGTTTGGAGAGAGGTGAGGAAGAGCTTCACTGTCATGAACATACCATCTAAGAATCCCTACAAGTTCTCAAAAACACTTGCCCCGTCCTCTGTTACCAAGTGCTGTGCTTTGCATCTGCTACAATCTCTGATTGCTCTGAAGCCCGGTCTAGGTACCTGGGTGTAAGGACTCTATCCTTTGTCAAAGTGATATAACATCACTTTTAAAAGTCTGTCCATGAGATGACCTTTTCTATCAAAGACTTTTTCTCTGGTTATAACACTCTTACCACTGGCTTCCTTGGTCCCCAGCCAGAGGGTGAGGCTGAGAGGAAAAAGACTGAAAGAAATCAGTGGATGCTCCTGGCATTCTGAAAAGCCCTTCCTTGTTTTGAGTCTTTGTCTCCCCTTTTTTGTCAACTGTTCCCTTTTCTCCTGGCATGGACCATCCCACGAGTCATTTATATTCCCTCTGACACTTCAGCTGCCTCACTGGGTCCTCGGCTCCCATGACACATCCATCTATTTCACCTCCTATTCCTATGCTCTCCCTCCAAAGTCTAGTATCTATCACAAGTCTGGAGTCCTGGATCACAGGCACAGGGGGAGAGGAGCTAGTAGACAAGGGCTGTGTGCTGGCAGGTGACTTGCTGGCGGTCCCAGCTGATGAGGAACCCCGGTGCTTGTCACAGGTCTTCTGCCCTATTTCTTCTCTTCTCCTTGATGCTGAATAAGAAGCCACCTGCTGCACAGGTTCCAGCACTTTCTCTCTTGTTTGTTTGTCTGCTTCTGACCCTAGATACTGGGAGATACTGGCATCTAGCAAAAGCAGTTGCTATTGGCTGTGTGTCTGTGTGTATCTCTGTGTGTGTCTAATTACACGCTAATGAGCAGCGTGAGCAGACCAAAAGAAACTCTGATTCTCCTCTTTCTGTCCTTCCTGCAAACAGGTATGAAGAAGTGGCTCACTGCACATGTATAAATCAGTGCAAAGAAACCTTAAAACTCATCACGGTCTCTGTCAAGTGTTGAGCACCTACTGTGCTTACTGAAAAAGCAGCGTGCTCACCCTTTGTGTGAGTTTTCACCTTTAAATATCACAGCCTCCCTGGACGGGAGCTCCTATTCTTCCCATCCTACCTGAGGGGATTCAGTGATTTGGGGTGACTTGTCCAGGACCACACAGATGATCAGTAGAGAATCTTGATCCTTAACTGTAAGTCCAAAATGTGTGGTATCTTTTCGCCTAAATATTGCCTTGATTTCTAGAAGGCACCCAGCAAAGAAGGCGGTACAATTAGGTGAAAGCAGAAGCAGGTGGATGCTGGAAGCGCACGCCCATGCCTGCCCCGAGAAGGCAGAGGTCTCCACACAGACGGACCTGGGCAGCTAACCCACCACCCCTGGGTCCGTGCAGGCTCTGGTCTAACTCACCTTCTTTTGCAGACAGCTGCTAGTCCTCCTTCAAAGGGAATCTTTCTGAGCATCACCTTATAAAATCTCCCATTATACCCAACAATCTAAGTGAATGTAGGTAAAAAGAACATGCACGTGGGGGTGGGATTTCTGCCCTAACCAGACTCTACCCCTTACCAGCTTGCTGGCCAGGCCAGGGAAGATGGACTCACCTCCCTGGTGGTGAGTTTCTCACTTGTGAATACTGAGAACAGCCAACGCCTGACCCATACACGGTCCAGGCACTGTTCCATGTGCTTTTAGAATATCAACTCCTGGATTCGCCATTAAAACTTTTTGAGACTGGTTCTATTTCTTGCCTCATTTTACCAGAAAGTTGAGGCATAGAATCAAGTAGCTCAGATGCAAATAGATAATGTAGCTCAACAGTTCTCCAACGTGTTTTTTGGCCGCCAGGGGACAACTGGTTATGTCGGGGGTCATTTTTGGTTGTCAGAAGTGGAGGATACCCCTGGAATCTAGGGGGTGAGGGCCAGGGGGGCTGCTGGACACCCGAGCATGCACGAGATGGACCCCATAATAAAGCAGGATCTGGCTCCAGCTATTAAGGGGGCCAAGGTGGAAACCCACCCTGAGCTCCAGAGCCTGAGCTCCTCACTCTGCAGACTGCTGGCTGAAAGCACGCCATTGGCTTCTCTAATGTGAGCGCCGCTGGTTTTTCCATTCATCGGCCTTGCTACTTTCATCTCCCACTGCTCACTCCCAGGACCAGGGTCAGGAGACAGCTCGATAGCCAACATCTGCATTGCACGGTCACCACAGAGCCAGAGTCCCAGTTGGCACGACGGTCTTTGTGTATCAAACGTTCGGAGTCCATTATTCACCCTTGAGTTTCCTCGCTGGCTTGAATAACCGCTGTTTATGTTTGTGTTTACAGTCGACTTGGGGATAAGCATCCAGCAGGATAATGTGGCCACTTCTTCCTCCGACACAATGGAGCTCAGCGCTGTTGAAGATGCCAACAGAGAGAATCTTGGGAGAGAGGCCAACCCTGAGCCACCAGCTGCTAAATCTCGTTTTTTCTTGACACTCTCTCGGTCTGTACCAGGACGTGCCGGAGACCAAGCCACGGATTCATCCAGGGCGTCAGTGACGCCTGATGTCAGCTCCAGTGAAGCTGCAGGGAACAAAGGCTTGAGTGAGAGCCGGGCACTTCCGACAGCAGCTGCAGGCAGGCCCGCCCCGGATAAAACCCCCGGGCAGGCCCCGGCCCCGGACGGAGGATCCTCAGCCACTTGGGGACCTGTACCTCTCTCACCTGAGTCGGGGGGCGCAGCCCCCTCCAAGCCCAAGGACGCCAGCATTTTTGACAAAATCTTCAAACTGGACAAGGGACGGGAAAAGGTACCAAGTGACAGGAGACAGGAAGCAGAGAGCGAAGAGTGTCCAGACCAGGCTGACTGCATCCAGGGACACCCCAGCCACCATGTCCCTGCGGAGGCGGTAAGTGCTGGAGGGGCAAACATTTGGTTCTTGCGTGAGCTCTGGGATCTAAGGGGCGCACAGCCATACCTCAGTGGTTCTGAAATCCCCCAGGGGTCCTGACGAGGTATCAAGCCATGGAGCCCTCTAGAACAAATAGTGCCTCACAGCCTGATGCCTTCCCAAGGCTCCCGTGGCAGAGGTACCTGTTTGAAGAACAGTAACAGCTGTGCCATCTGCTTTAGCTAAAAGAAAAGAGGAGGTGAGTTACACACGGATCAATTCATTTTTCCATGGATCTAAGATGGAGGGCTTATAAATACAGCTTGTATTTATCATCAGTGACTTCTGGAGGGACAGGCAATAGCAGGATGGCGTTGATGTCTCAAAGACTTCAACAGCCTCCAGGCTCAGGAGCCCGGTTCACATAGCAGTTGGTAAACAATTGTTGGGAAAACATTTCATTTTTTGCCACTAATAGCCTGGATGGATCTTTATCTTTTACCCTAACATTTAAATACTAAAGTTTAAACTCTGGGCAGATTCTTTCATGTACTCATTATTTTCCGTCAAGCTGGAGTAATACCTTTGTAAAGGCTAGATCTTTCTTTAAAAGATATCACTCGAAATGGTCGCTTACTTTCCTGAGCAAAGAAAGGCAAGTTCTTTTTGATCTTACAAAGAACACTTATGTTTAACCTGCAGAGTTTATGTGTAGAGGAGCCAAGCAGAGAACTCCTTGAATGAAGAAAGAAATAGAAGTTGATGTATTGTATTTTAAGGCACTTGTTTCCTTAGTTAATGGACTTTTAACAGTATTTTTTTCAAAACCGGAGGATAAAATTGAGTGCCTCTAGTTGAGATGAGGAGCAGGAAAATAAAATCAGTGTTTGTCACGTGGCCTGTGTGATGGCTGAGGATGTACTTGATTTGAGGGTCCTAATGGCTGCAATGATGGTGATGAAGTCAGCACTACAGTAGCACGCTGAGCTCTGTCCTAAGCTCTGAGGTGTATTATTTTCCTTATAGAAAATGAGTATCATGTCAATTAGTGATTTTAATGCATCCAGACTGGAGTCAAGAATAATATTTTATTTTTTTTTTTTTTTATAGAGGCATGTTTTTTTATTTATTTATTTGTTTGTTCGTTCGTTTTGTTTATACATGCACTGGGTACAGTCAGAAGCGCGGGAGGGTGAGAGAATTCACCAGAGCCAGAGCAGGGAGCAGAGCAGGCAGAAGGACCGAAGTGCACTGCTGAGGGGAGCAGCGGGCGGCAGGAGAGGTCTGCGCGCCATGTGGGACCCTCCTCCAGTGGCCGGGGAGCAGCCGGGGATCGAACCGGCGCCGCAGAGGTCGCCGGCAGCTTTGCAACCCAGCGCTCAACCGCTGCGCCACCGGGGAGGCCCAAGAATAATATTTTAAATATTAGACACCAGTGGAAAATTCTAGGCAGGTAAAATTGGGAAAAGATAGTAAGTTTCCTGCTATCAGTACTTTTGCTCATTTTGTGAGTTCTGAATCTATGAGCTGATTTTCAAATTTTCTTTCAAATGTCTCAAAAATTGCCTTTCAAATGCCCACTTCCCAAATGCACAGTTGAGGACCAATTGAATAGCTTCCTGTATAATTCACAGTGAATCTTCAGATGCACCACGTGTTACTGAGGTGACATGGCCAGCCACAGGTGAAGAAAGACTCCAGGGATTACCAGGACACTGTTTGGTCCTTTGGGGGTACACTGTCCAGCAAGAGCAGAGGAACAAATCCCCATAGGATTATGCAAGTTGCCAAATGCTCCCCTGGGGAAGACCCAGCGTGGCAAGGATGCCTAGACACCAGGAGAATTAGCCTCACCTGCCCTTGGGACATTCCACCAAGTGTATAACCCGAGAGCTGCATAGTTCCTTGTCTTAGGACTGTAAAATAAGCATCAATATGCATGAATATTTGAGAAGCTCTTTGCTATTTTACTCCAAGTGGGGAGACTCTTGTTCACCCTCACCATTGCTTCTGGACTCCTAAGGCCATTCTGAGATGGTGATTTTTTGAATAGGCATGTGTCTCTTTTACGTGGGCTAGCAGAACCCATCCATTGCCTGAGGTAGGAAGAGACTGAGTTACTTATAGGAAGAGAAGGAAGGACTACTATGTCGCCACTGAGGAGAGGTGTCTGGTGACTCAGCCATCTGATCGCCATTCCTGGATGTAGCTAACCTGGCACCCCAGCACCTCAATCCTCTCCTAGTCTGAGAAAATTGATGAGACAATCTAGATCTGTGCTTTCTCCACTCAGCGTCCTTTATCAAAAACCTGAAGGTCAGCGCCCCCACTGGTGTGGCATGATTCCAAAATTAGGTTGGAATCAGAGGGGAGGCTTGTCCGGGGCCACACAGGTGTCTGATAGAGTCCACTGGTGGGTGGTGGTGTAAAGCTATAGAAACCTCTTAGAAGACCCCAACGTGGCAACTTGTCTTCCTTTCTGTATGAGTGAGTTCGAGTCCTTGGATTCATCCCCAAAATCTACATCTATTTTTGTTGTACCACGATTTTCCAGCTGGGGTTGGTAGTAGCAATGGAATTTGAAATATGGCGTCTTCATTCTGCACTGGACACACAAACCCCAGAAAATTTATGAATAGCCATTCATTTCTCCTTCAGCCAGTGAACGCGTAGATATGCAAATATACATATCTGCAAAGTCTTTTTCTCAACAAAAACAGCCTTCTGATTGTGAGTTTCTCATCTGATCCCTGGCTGACAGTCTGTATTTGGGGGTCACATCAGTGGTTCTATATGTGTATTGAGAGAATCCAGCCCCCCGAAAGGAACACAAATCCAACTTCTCAATCCATGCTTTTCTTGGTGGGAACACTGCGTTGTGCATAAATGGAGGTCAATGTATTGATTGAGAGTCTTAGGGTAAATTATGCCCTGGGCTCAGCCATGTCAGCTGTCCCCCCTCTTCCTTCCCACCCCCGCCCCCTCACAGGAGTCTGTCCCCCAGGGAGGCTGCCTTCTCCTTACTGGATTGGAATTCCAACCACAAACCCAAGGGCTGTGAATTGGGAGAAGATGCCCCCATTTCATTCTGAGGGGAAACACACAAATCTCCTGTGTTTTCAGAACGACAATCTTATTTTTGTGCCTTATAAAACTACATTCAGAGCATAGCATAATTAAAACAAGGCCAGAATTCATGAACAAATGAAGCATTTACTACATAGGCCAAAGAAAAGATAAATTATACGCCTGAAAGGTTCCACTGAGCTGTGATTCACACAAACCAAAGTGTTGGCAGGGATGAGATATTTTTTATTTTTCTCTGCCCCCAACAACTGAATCAGAGCTATAAGATATGCATTTAAGAGATTCATTGCCAAAAAATTGGTCAAATAATGAAAGCTTGACCGTTATCAGTTAAAAAAAAAAAAAAAAAAAAAAACACTAGATTTCTGTGGTCAGTCGGTGCCTCCAGAAGTGTCTTCATGTTGGGGGTTGGTGGAGGTGCTTCAAGTGTTGCCCAGAACAGATTTGTGAGATTTCATTTGCGAGATTTCTTTTTCTTCTACAAGTTAATTAAATTCTGCAATTATTATTTAAAACCACCCACTCTGTGCAAAGCATTTAAAAGCTAAATCATGCCTGGCCCCAGTTCTTCCAAGGCCATGCAAGCTACTAAGAAACATTTATTTATTTTTTCATTTATGCATACAAGAACTGGGGTGCAGGACAGAGATGTCAGGGTGAGAGGATTCACCAGAGACAGAGTGGGGAGCACAACAGGCGGATCTACTGAAATCCACTGCTGAGGGGAGCAGCGGGGAGACAGGAGAGGTCTGCTGCGCCATGTGGGTCAGCCTCCTGGCCAGGGATTGAACTCAGGCCACAGTGGTGACAGTACTGAGACTTATCCCCTAGGCCACCGGGGAATCCCTACTAAGAATCATTTTTTAGGGAAGGTTGTCATTGCAAAGCACAGTGCACCTCAAATTCATTCAGGTGACAGATAATAAGAAAAATTCTTAACTTCCTCTTCTCCCCTTCACTCTTGAACTCACTCCTTTCAGGTTTTCATCCTCTATAAAACCTGCTCCTGTCCTCCCCAACCTCTCACTGCAGCTGCCAGCAAGGGGCATCTCAGTTCTTATCCTGCCAGACCTGCAGGTGACCCCAACTCAGCGCCCACCCTTCCCTCATCCTGCACTGGTCTCTGTCCTGACCTCCTGTTGCCCCTGTCTGCACATGGGAGCTCCCCAGACTCCAGCCCTGGGCCATCTTCTCCAGCTGCACTTACTTCCTTGGAATGCTCCCCCCCACCCCAAGGGTTAAATAGAGCCATCTGCTAACAAGTCCCAATTTGATACCTGTAGGCTTCTCCCCCAAAAATCCAGACCTACATATCCAGCTGCCTCTTCCTTAAGTCAGCTGGGATTTCTCCATCTCCACGTGAGTCACTGAGCTCGACACTGAGCTCGTCCTTCACACCTGACAGCACCACACAACAGCCGCCATCCCCTCAGTGAATGGCACCTCTGCCCACCATGTTTAGGGTAGAACTGGAATGAAAGGACTGGGTCTCCAGGGCCTTGTTCTGCATGGTTTAATCTAGGGAATGAAAACACAAGCACTGCGGTCAAGTAGCCTTGGTTTCAGTTCTCTCTCTGTTGCTGACTGTGTGATGTTGGGGGACTTTGCTGAGCCTCAGTTTCCTCATCTGTAAAGTGGGGATAGTTTATTTTCGTATCAAGCACATTTTCATATTATCCCCACTTATGAAAATTAAATAAGACAAGCCACAGAAAGTATCTATCACGAGGTAGTGTGTTTTGAAACAAAGGAAATTTAACTATTATTGGTATCATGGTCTCCTTCCTTATTATGCCACATTTTACTCTTTTTACCCTTCCCTTCCGTAGCCCTCCACCAAAACTCCCAAAGATGGCACAATTGAATCTAATTTGAAAGCTGTCTAAGGAAAGACTTAGGTCCTAACTTGGGTCAAAATGGTGCAGGATTTG